AAATATGGAAATTTTGATTTGAAAGATAAAAAAAAAACATTAAAAAAATTTTAGTTGTTGTTTTGTTACAAGAATTGTGAACAAACTATAATCCTCTTTTGCTGAAAAATCAATACCGGTATCTAAAAAAAATGAAGTGAAATTTTCTTTTGGTTTTGAGAAATTAGTGCATAAATTTATTATTTAGTCATTGGAAGTATAGAAATAACTTCAGCCTACAAGAAAGCATCAAGCTTGTACAGATTTTTTTTATTTTAGCTTTTGTCATGATTTATAAAGCTGACATAGAATGGACTCTATTGATTATTGGAGCTGTGTTTTCATGTCAACATATGGTCTTTTTAAACAATTTGTAGGACATCTTTAATGAAGTGGAAGGTTGTGTCAATATTGACAGTAAGATGACATTGATAGACTTTGATAGGTTAATTAAAGTATGTATAGGGACTTAGCCAGCTTTGTAGGACTGATGTGTCTGGAATTTCTCTTAAATATCACTGGTTTGGCGTGGTAAAAAAATTTAACAAATTTTCACTGTAACGATATTTTTATCAGTACTACTTATCATAGGTATAGTTAAAAGAAGGACTATAACCACTTTAAGCATTTTAAGGCTTCGAAAACGAGCAGATTTTAGATTTAGTAGTTTTTTTTCTTAAAATTAATCTATAAACCTGAAAGAAAGTTTTCAAGCTTATAAATTTATATACATGTAAACATATATGGTAAATACTGTATCAAGAATTATTTTTGTCCATGGTTATTTTCACTATGTCACACTTGCAAACAATTTCATCCCTTTTTTAAAGTCATTCACACACAGTTGTATATTTAAAGAGAGACAACTGTCTCTATTACATTACTTGTAATGTACATATATCATTATAGCTTTCAGAGTAAGATGAAAATCACTTTATATTGGGGAGCTCTTACCATTGACTTAACATGTATGTGTTACTCGATGCTTTATAGTCTTATGCATTGGTCTTTTTTTTTTTTTTTTTTGGAAAGAGGGAGGGGGTTCACATTTAATATTTATAATTTTCTGTTATACTAAATTATTCTTCATTGTTACCCTCTGGCATGTGTATTTAATACAATTCTGAGATTGTCATTTATTTCCAGCAGTCATTTTTAAATGCATGATTCATTAATAGCACATAACTTTATTAAAGAAAACTACCAAGCTAAAATTGGACAAAGCATGCTCTGCATGGAGACACACAATTGCAGAAAATACTCTTAAATAAACTTCTTTAATACATCATATGTCTGTCTATAAATATCAGAGTACTGATGCAGCACTGAAAGTCAGGGTCAAATTAAATACTTTAATTGTTCATGCATACAAAGGTGTCAGAAGCAAATTGAAAAAGGGGTGGGGGGCAAAGCTCCTGGAAGCTCTAGTATTCTAGAGATTTTGTAGTGTAAAAATCAGGTCTACAGAGAAGACATTTTTACATTTTCTTGAAGAAACTATGATTTACACTAACTTTGACAATTTTAGGTTGGGTGTGTGTCAGATCCCCCCCCCCCCCCTCTAAATCCGCCACTAGTGGTTTATATACATTTATTAATGAATTTCAAAAGATAAAACATTTCAAAATGCTCCCTTGATAGCTTTTATTTTATTTTTGTAGAAAAATCTTCAAATTACTTTCTTCTGTTTGATAAAGCATTTGTGTCTTCTGACCAAACCAATTTCTGCACTCTTTTCTTTAGCGTAGATTCAATTGAGGTTCTATATGTCAAACTTCTGTTTGAGACGTAGTCTGACAGTAAACTAATAGACGGGGTCACGTGACCTGGTCTATTAAAAAATGTATTTTCTAGCTTGAATTGGAGGGCACTCAGGCCTCTTCTCTCTCCTCCCCCCTTTTGTGGTTTCCCCATTAGATATGTTTATGCAGCAGCCCTTAAAATTTGTATGGCTCAAACATTAGAATTAAAAGAATGCAGTCATTATAAATACTACATCATTCTGCTTAGTGCTATTTAAATATGAAAGGCAAAAATGAAGCGAGTGTAATGAAAAGAAAGACAACTTCTGTAGAAAGTGTATGACCAGCCTTCTGGTGACAGGAACTCTCTATTGATTTTTTTAAATCGTATCTGCTTTCGATGCTGATAATAAACTTCAAGGTGACGTGGGAGCAATGGGAATGGTCAGAAGCACACGTCAGAGAAACCGCATTTAATACAATACGGACACCTGTATAACATAGTGTCATATTTAGCATGATCATCTTATAAATATGATCTATTTAAAATCATATGGAGAGGAGATCATCACTTTAAAAATGTTTGTATTATGGTGCTCTGTAAGATAAGCAGGGTTGTAGTGCGAGAAGGACAGTGACATTGATGGATTAAATTCTTACTGGAGCTCTCATTAAGATATGTTGCATTGATATACAATGTTCTGTTACCCCTGATTTATGCTTGAATCACTGGATTTAATATTTCCAGATTTGTACATTTTAGCATTGTTAAAAATCAGTTTGGACTTTGATTGCCTGGTCGTGTTTCATAGCTGCTGAATTTATTGACGCTTATTTGTGATTATAAAAAATGTTTGTATAGATTTTGTGATGGATACTTCTTTGATAATATCAGCTGTTGACTAGATGTGTTTGGAGTTGTTGACTTATTGCGTACCTTGCCTGCCACGGTAGGTATATGTTTGGATTGTTTAAGAAATGCATGTATTGCATATCTTGCTTGCCATGGTAGGTACAGGTTTAGAGTTGTTGACTTACTGCAATACCTTGCCTGTTATGGTAGATATACTTGTATACAATTGGAGTTGTTGGCATTGTATACCTTGCCATGGTAGGTATACATTTGGAAATAGTGACTTGTTGCATATCTTGCCTGCTATGGTAGGCATACATTTTGAGTTTCTGACTTATTGTGTACTTTACTAGCCATGGTAGGTATACAGCAGGGATAACATATACATCAGGGATAACAACATATCATAGGTATACAGCAGGGATAACAACATATCATAGGTATACAGCAGGGATAGCAATATATCATAGGTATACAGCAGGGATTACAACATAGCATAGGTATACAGCAGGGATAACAACATATCATATGTATACATCAGGGATAACAACATATCATAGGTATACAGCAGGGATAACAACATATCATAGGTATACAGCAGGGATAACAATATATTATAGGTATACAGCAGGGATTACAACATAGCGTAGGTATACAGCAGGGATAATAATATATCATAGGTATAAAGCAGGGGTAACAATGTAGCATAGGTATAAAGCAGGGATAACAATATATCATAGTTATACATCAGGGATAACAACATAGCATAGGTATACATCAGGGATAACAATGTAGCATAGGTATTAAGCAGGGATAACAATGTAGCGTAGGTATAAAGCAGGGATAACAATGTAGCATAGGTATAAAGCAGGGATAACAATGTAGCATAGGTATAAAGCAGGGATAACAATATGGCATAGGTATAAAGCAGGGATAACAATGTAGCATAGGTATGAAGCAGGGATAACAATGTAGCATAGGTATACAGCAGGGATAACAAAATCTCATAGGTACAGCAAGGATAACAATATATCATTGCAGTGGATATCCTAATAAGATACTGGTTTCACTGAAAGTCCAGAGCTCAGTAACTATTTTAAGCACTGAGTTCAAATATTTTTTTTAAAAAATAAATTAAAAATGAATAGACCTCAATAATTTGACGTCAAGTCATTTGTTTAACTTCATTTTAAATCAAATAAAAGTTTTCAAAATTATTAAAATTTTTGATACAATTAACTGATTAATCAGTCATCAGGAGTTATTGTGAACAGAATGGCAATTCTGTACTCATTGGCTACCCTTAATTTCAATATATCTCATCCAGCTATTGATCATTTTTAAATTTTATTGTGAATTGTAGAAGTTGACTCTGCACTGACTTCAAATCCACTGATTACAGCACCCAGTAGAATTATTTTATGTCATTGTATAAGATCAATCTATTTAAGCTTCATGAAACTCTCTGGTGCAGATGATTTCAATGTTATCTTTAATTAGTGGAGTAATGTGTTGTAAAACCTTAGCCTAAGGCACAGGTGTTTTAATCACTTCCTATTCTGATACATGTAATGATCAATTTCTGTGTTAAATATAGCTGAATGATGCATTAAACATATACACATTTCTAAAGTGGCCATCAAACATCTATAAATAAGTCCGAAGATATAATGGTATTGTTGGGATCAAATTTATTTTGAAGAATTATTCAGTATCATTGCTCTTTTTTTTTTCAATGTCTATCTCTTCGGGTTTCAATGTACAAGCTGTCATGAGATATATAGAATGATGTATAGCTGCTTCACTCTGTGACATAAGAACAGGCTGTTTTCACTGTCATACAGATATACATGATACGTAGCTGCAAACAGTATTTATAGGCAGTAGAGTTTGGTCCAGAACTTTCAGTATGCATAAGTTTCCAAAAAAACCTACTCCTCTGGAACTTGTTTGGTTGGTATCAAAGATGGTGTATATGAATTGTTTCTTATTTCTATATCTTCTGTAATTGTTAATTTTTTTCTTCTTTTTTTTGTTGATATTAATGATTTAAACTTTGAAAAGTTTTGAGTAATTTAATGAGAATTTTAAGGAAAGAAATAAGAACTTGCTAATGCATTTTGAGGAATGTGAAAAAAAACTATGAAAGGTACCATGACTGTAGAAATTAAGGCAATATTCTTAGTAATGCAAGTCTTCATAGCTGTTACAGGAGCAAAATAATTGTAAAATGTATATAATACTGTCTAACTGCCAAATAACGTGGCAGGGAAAAGGCACCAAATGGACAGCCTATTTCTTGCTTGTGTTTAATGGTCAAAAATTTTGTCAGTCTGACTGTAAAAAACAGTATCTAAAGCCATGTTGTAGTTGAAATGGTAGAAAATATATCAAGTCTGAACTGGTATTTAAAATTTTTTTTGCAGGTTACATAAGAATGTTAAGGCTGCCAGTGAGGTGGATTACCCAGCATATGGAGTTACTGGCCCTGCTAAGGAGAGAATGGGTCCAGGTCCAGGGGACAGAAAACTGGCCCAGAGTGCTCAGATGTATCACTACCAGCATCAAAAGCAACAAATGATTGCTATGGAGAAGTAGGTTCTCTCAATGAAGACATATCAATTATATTTTCTGATAACAACCTTGCATGATCTAGTGAGTGAACTTGTACAGTTGGGAATATGATTTTATGGAATGGTATGTTCTTTTAATGAAAAAGATATTATTTTTTTGTCAAACAAACATCACAACAAACAAGCAAACAACATAACATAAATGGTGTCATTAACTGGTCCTGTTGGGAATATAACTTTGTATTGAATTAACAGAGCTAATGGAGAGATGAAGAATGAGGCCTCCGAGGAGGAGTCCGATGAGGAAAACGAGGAGGGAGACTACACAGTATACGAGTGTCCGGGGCTGGCTCCGGTAAGTATATCCTCATATTATACTCTCTCATACATGTAAATGCATTTGTACATGTTAATTAAGCATTGAATCATTATTTTTTTGAAAGATGTAGTCTCATAACTGCAACGGTGTATGCAAACAAATTGAGTAATGCACATTAGCTTGTTTGCACACACTGTTGAAGTTATGAGACTATATCTTTCAAAAAATAATGATTTAATGCTTATATTTACATTTTTAATTCCTTGCCTTGACTACAAATGTGATATATATTTGAAAATCCTAGTATTATCCTTCGGGCAAGTTACAATTAATGGAAGAGCCATTGCAACAGCTTCTGTTCAATGTGAGCGTGAATTCCGATTTTCGCCTATGATGTTGCACTTGCACAGTGTTCAACATTGCAACATTAAAATAAAATGTATAATTTAACCCTTTGACCCCCCATTCTGTGTTATGGTATTTTGAATGCTGTCGTTTTTCACACACTTTATAAGCAAAATAAATGTGGAGTGTAAATATAGTTCTATGTGATTAAGTGACTGATGTAAAATTTAGATAGCTTGTATTATCATACAACTGCATGATGAAAGAAATAGGAAAAGGTATACTTGACATATTTTTGTTTATTTCACTTTTAGCCGGGCGAGGTGATGGAGGTCAGGAACCCCATGTTTTCAGCAGAAACACCTACAGGAACACAGCCAACAAACGCTCCTCAGGATCCTCCCCAACAATAGATCCACCACTCTCTTTTCTAACACTTAATCATAAGCCAAAAACTGGAACAAAAAGAAAATGTTCATTTGGTTGTCTTTGGCTGATTTTGTTCAATCATTATTTGTACAACAGAAACTTTTCATCTGATTTTGCTTGACCATTTTTTTTTTGTGGATATGTAATAATTGTGGGGAAATTCATATGTACCATCTTCTAGATAAAGAAAAAAATATATTGATGTAGTGTTGGTGGAATGGGATCATTTTTATCTTCTCTTTGTTGTGTATAGTGCTCATTGTATTTATGAAAATGTTAGAACTGAACTTCAGATGATAGCATATTTTATTACTGAACTTCCCATCATTGCATTTTATTATGATACGCAATATAATATTGGGGGAAAAAAATAATTTTCTAGTGAACATGTTCCTCATTTGTTAATTACATCATTGGTAATTAAGTGTTAATTCTTAACAGTCTTTCAAGGATGTTACAGGTTGTTATTATATATCATGTGACAAATCAGCATTTCTCTTATTTCATTTATTGTTGATCTGCCTTATTTAGAAACATTGCTTTAAAATGATTTGTATATTTGAAAAAAAAAAATGAAAATCTGTTTACAAATTGAAAATATTTTTATTAGTTAAAAATCAGAAAAAATGGAACTGAAAATTTAATTCCATGCTTGATGCTTTGGAGAAATTTCATTATTGTTGGTGCCCGGTTTTGTATTTTAATATTTATATATTTTATTTATTTGTTATCCATCAGAAATGGTGGACACCACAATTTTTTATGACTTGAAACTTTCTATCAGATAGTTATTTAATTTGTATTTAAACACAAACAATCTCATTGAAAAGAAATCCAATTACCTTTAAAGATCTCTTTCTTATGCATTCCTTTTGCGTCTTTTAATTATTTCTAATTATATTTATTTTGTTTACTTCATTATTTTACACTACATGTATTTTTTCTCAATAAATTATGATCTGTTATAGTATATCATGATATTAATCTTCAAAAGTAAATTTTGTAAGTTTGTACATTTACAAAGTATTAAAAAAAGGGAACTTGACCATATCACATGTAGATCATGCCAAAAGTAATTGTCAAACTGTTGATGTATTTTATCTACTGCAAACTTAATATTTCTTTGATTATAATATTGCAACATTTAGTAGAAAGTGCAATAACATATTCTCTTTGGGTTTTGGTCAGTGAAAAAAAAAATTGTTGTGTAATAATTCAAGCTACAGGTTGGTTTGGAAAAAGACAAAAAAGTTTTTGGATGGTCAAGATTATTGACAATGGTTTGTCTTTTGTCAAGTCAACTAAGAAGATCGTTGTGGCTGTCTTTTGTTGTTAGATTAGGTCGTCATCACAGGTTTCATTTCATATGTCAGCTACAGAAAATTCCTCTCCAAAGTATATATAATAATTGATTTATGAATGTCTACAACAAAAGAAAAATATATTGTTATAGAGCATTTTATTCAAGATTGAGAACATTTTTGTAAAGTTGAGTTACTAGACAAAAAGCAATACATGTATTAGTATTTTGATTCAGTTTTGGTAGTTTACAAAGTAAGATTATAATAAGTATAATTGAAATTTTAGATTTATGTAAAATGTTCCACATATGAAATAAAACTTCTGAACAAAGTTTACTGCTTATTTGTTTATTAAAAGGATGATGATTAAGATAGTGTAGCTTTCTACTGAGGGTAGTACATGTATCAAAATATGACAAAAAAAAAACAAAAACAAACACCCAGGAATGGAACAGCTGATTATTAATACATGTATTATGAGATGTGAATTGTTTGCAGTTATACATAGCAAAAGTATCTCCTATATAGGAATTGATTTAAGATAGTCTGATATGATCTGAAGTTTTTGTAAAAACTACCAAGTGTCTGAGATGATCTCAACTACTGAGCATCTGAGATAATCTGAAGATATACAGGAACTACTGAGTGTCAGAGATGATCTGGAGTTTTGTAGGAACTACTGAGTGTCTGAGATGATCTGGAGTTTTGTAGGAACTACTGAGTGTCTGAGATGATCTGGAGTTTTTGTAGGAACTACTGAGTGTCTGAGATGATCTGGAGTTTTGTAGGATCTACTGAGTGTCTGAGATGATCTGGAGTTTTGTAGGAACTACTGAGTGTCTGAGATGATCTGGAGTTTTGTAGGATCTACTGAGTGTCTGAGATGATCTGGAGTTTTGTAGGAACTACTGAGTGTCTGAGATGATCTGGAGTTTTGTAGGATCTACTGAGTGTCAGAGATGATCTGGAGTTTTGTAGGAACTACTGAGTGTCTGAGATGATCTGGAGTTTTGTAGGAACTACTGAGTGTCTGAGATGATCTGGAGTTTTGTAGGAACTACTGAGTGTCTGAGATGATCTGGAGTTTTGTAGGAACTACTGAGTGTCAGAGATGATCTGGAGTTTTGTAGGAACTACTGAGTGTCTGAGATGATCTGGAGTTTTGTAGGAACTACTGAGTGTCTGAGATGATCTGGAGTTTTGTAGGAACTACTGAGTGTCTGAGATGATCTGGAGTTTTGTAGGAACTACTGAGTGTCTGAGATGATCTGGAGTTTTTGTAGGAACTACTGAGTGTCTGAGATGATCTGGAGTTTTGTAGGATCTACTGAGTGTCTGAGATGATCTGGAGTTTTGTAGGATCTACTCAGTGTCTGAGATGATCTGGAGTTTTGTAGGATCTACTGAGTGTCTGAGATGATCTGGAGTTTTGTAGGAACTACTGAGTGTCTGATATGATCTGGAGTTTTGTAGGAACTACTGAGTGTCTGAGATGATCTGGAGTTTTGTAGGAACTACTGAGTGTCTGAGATGATCTGGAGTTTTGTAGGAACTACTGAGTGTCTGAGATGATCTGGAGTTTTGTAGGAACTACCGAGTGTCTGAGATGATCTGGAGTTTTGTAGGAACTACTGAGTGTCTGAGATGATCTGGAGTTTTTGTAGGAACTACTGAGTGTCTGAGATGATCTGGAGTTTTGTAGGATCTACTGAGTGTCTGAGATGATCTGGAGTTTTGTAGGATCTACTCAGTGTCTGAGATGATCTGGAGTTTTGTAGGATCTACTGAGTGTCTGAGATGATCTGGAGTTTTGTAGGAACTACTGAGTGTCTGAGATGATCTGGAGTTTTGTAGGAACTACTGAGTGTCTGAGATGATCTGGAGTTTTGTAGGAACTACTGAGTGTCTGAGATGATCTGGAGTTTTGTAGGAACTACTGAGTGTCTGAGATGATCTGGAGTTTTGTAGGAACTACTGAGTGTCTGAGATGATCTGGAGTTTTGTAGGAACTACTGAGTGTCTGAGATGATCTGGAGTTTTTGTAGGAACTACTGAGTGTCTGAGATGATCTGGAGTTTTGTAGGATCTACTGAGTGTCTGAGATGATCTGGAGTTTTGTAGGATCTACTCAGTGTCTGAGATGATCTGGAGTTTTGTAGGATCTACTGAGTGTCTGAGATGATCTGGAGTTTTGTAGGAACTACTGAGTGTCTGAGATGATCTGGAGTTTTGTAGGAACTACTGAGTGTCTGAGATGATCTGGAGTTTGTAGGAACTACTGAGTGTCTGAGATGATCTGGAGTCTTGTAGGAACTACTGAGTGTCTGAGATGATCTGGAGTCTTGTAGGATCTACTGAGTGTCTGAGATGATCTGGAGTCTTGTAGGATCTACTCAGTGTCTGAGATGATCTGGAGTTTTGTAGGAACTACTGAGTGTCTGAGATGATCTGGAGTCTTGTAGGAACTACTGAGTGTCTGAGATGATCTGGAGTTTTGTAGGAACTACTGAGTGTCTGAGATGATCTGGAGTTTTGTAGGAACTACTGAGTGTCTGAGATGATCTGGAGTCTTGTAGGATCTACTCAGTGTCTGAGATGATCTGGAGTTTTGTAGGATCTACTGAGTGTCTGATATGATCTGGAGTCTTGTAGGATCTACTGAGTGTCTGAGATGATCTGGAGTTTTGTAGGAACTACTGAGTGTCTGATATGATCTGGAGTTTTGTAGGATCTACTGAGTGTCTGAGATGATCTGGAGTTTTGTAGGAACAACTGAGTGTCTGAGATGATCTGGAGTTTTGTAGGAACTACTGAGTGTCTGAGATGATCTGGACTTTTGTAGGAACTACTGAGTGTCTGAGATGATCTGGAGTCTTGTAGGAACTACTGAGTGTCTGAGATGATCTGGAGTTTTGTAGGAACTACTGAGTGTCTGAGATGATCTGGAGTTTTGTAGGAACTACTGAGTGTCTGAGATGATCTGGAGTTTTGTAGGAACTACTGAGTGTCTGAGATGATCTGGAGTTTTGTAGGAACTACTGAGTGTCTGAGATGATCTGGAGTCTTGTAGGAACTACTGAGTGTCTGAGATGATCTGGAGTTTTGTAGGATCTACTGAGTGTCTGAGATGATCTGGAGTCTTGTAGGATCTACTCAGTGTCTGAGATGATCTGGAGTTTTGTAGGAACTACTGAGTGTCTGAGATGATCTGGAGTTTTGTAGGAACTACTGAGTGTCTGAGATGATCTGGAGTTTTGTAGGATCTACTGAGTGTCTGAGATGATCTGGAGTCTTGTAGGATCTACTCAGTGTCTGAGATGATCTGGAGTTTTGTAGGAACTACTGAGTGTCTGAGATGATCTGGAGTTTTGTAGGAACTACTGAGTGTCTGAGATGATCTGGAGTTTTGTAGGAACTACTGAGTGTCTGAGATGATCTGGAGTTTTGTAGGAACTACTGAGTGTCTGAGATGATCTGGAGTCTTGTAAGAACTACTGAGTGTCTGAGATGATCTGGAGTCTTGTAGGATCTACTCAGTGTCTGAGATGATCTGGAGTTTTGTAGGAACTACTCAGTGTCTGAGATGATCTGGAGTTTTGTAGGAACTACTGAGTGTCTGATATGATCTGGAGTTTTGTAGGATCTACTGAGTGTCTGAGATGATCTGGAGTTTTGTAGGAACAACTGAGTGTCTGAGATGATCTGGAGTTTTGTAGGAACTACTGAGTGTCTGAGATGATCTGGAGTTTTGTAGGAACTACTGAGTGTCTGAGATGATCTGGAGTCTTGTAGGAACTACTGAGTGTCTGAGATGATCTGGAGTTTTGTAGGATCTACTGAGTGTCTGAGATGATCTGGAGTTTTGTAGGAACTACTGAGTGTCTGAGATGATCTGGAGTTTTGTAGGATCTACTGAGTGTCTGAGATGATCTGGAGTTTTGAAGGAACTACTGAGTGTCTGAGATGATCTGGAATTTTGTATGAACTACTGAGTGTCTGAGATGATCTGGAGTTTTGTAGGAACAACTGAGTGTCTGAGATGATCTGGAGTTTTGTAGGAACTACTGAGTGTCTGAGATGATCTGGAGTTTTGTAGGAACTACTGAGTGTTTGATATGATCTGGAGTTTTGTAGGAACTATTGAGTGTTTGATATGATCTGGAGTTTTGTAGGAACTATTGGTGTCTGATATGATCTGGAGTTTTGTAGGAACTACTGAGTGTTTGATATGATCTGGAGTTTTGTAGGAACTACTGAGTGTCTGATATGATCTGGAGTTTTGTAGGAACTACTGAGTGTCAGATATGATCTGGAGTTTTGTAGGAACTACTGAGTGTCTGATATGATCTGGAGTTTTGTAGGAACTACTGAGTGTCTGATATGATCTGGAGTTTTGTAGGAACTACTGAGTGTCTGGAATTATCTTGGCATTTTGCAGAAACAACTAAGTGTCTGATATGATCTGAAGATTTGTAGGAAGTACTGAGTGTCTGGGATGATTATTATTGTTGTATAATTACTTCACGTGCAGAGAAATGAGGGTGAAATATTCATAAGACTGCTTTTGGAGTTGACATGGACAAAGCATTGTTGTGGATAAACTAATCAAATAATTATTTCTGTACATGTAGGTATTTCAAAATCAGGGAGACTGGAAGAGTTAAATGAAGCGCTGCTACATAGTCGTAAGTCTGCAAACAATTTTTAAAAGGTTTAACCCCTTTACATATTAACATATTAGTCTATTTTCGGAGAGAGAGGCAATGTTTAGTAAATTTCCAAACTGAACACACACCTTGCAGGAAAGCAAAGACATTAACAATTTTTTAAAGTAGTTTTACTGGTAAAAAAAAACACCATGCGTCCAGATGAGAACGGTAGTGTAAAAGTCACAAAAATGCGTAAGTATTAGGCAAAGTACTATGCAAAATGAATATGGCGACGACAGATCGAAAGCTG